TTAGTTTTTAGGGACCAATACAAGGCGTAGATTTTTTAAAGATTAGTTTTTAGGGACCAATACAAGGCGTGGATTTTTAAAAGAATAGTTTTTAGGGACCAATACAAGGCGTGGATTTTTAAAAGAATAGTTTTTAGGGACCAATACAAGGCGTGGATTTTTAAAAGAATAGTTTTTAGGGACCAATACAAGGCGTAGATTTTTTAAAGAATATTTTTTCAAGGATCGACCAATACAAGGCGTAGATTTTTTAAAGAATATTTTTTCAAGGATCGACCAATACAAGGCGTAGATTTTTTAAAGATTAGTTTTTAGGGACCAATACAAGGCGTAGATTTTTTAAAGATTAGTTTTTAGGAACCAATACAAGGCGTAGATTTTTTAAAGATTAGTTTTTAGGGACCAATACAAGGCGTAGATTTTTTAAAGATTAGTTTTTAGGGACCAATACAAGGCGTAGATTTTTTAAAGATTAGTTTTTAGGGACCAATACAAGGCGTAGATTTTTTAAAGATTAGTTTTTAGGGACCAATACAAGGCGTAGATTTTTTAAAGGATTAGTTTTTAGGGACCAATACAAGGCGTAGATTTTTTAAAGATTAGTTTTTAGGGACCAATACAAGGCGTAGATTTTTTAAAGATTAGTTTTTTGGGACCAATACAAGGCGTAGATTTTTTAAAGATTAGTTTTTAGGGACCAATACAAGACGTAGATTTTTTAAAGATTAGTTTTTAGGGACCAATACAAGGCGTAGATTTTTTAAAGATTAGTTTTTAGGGACCAATACAAGACGTAGATTTTTTAAAGATTAGTTTTTAGGGACCAATACAAGGCGTAGATTTTTTAAAGATTAGTTTTTAGGGACCAATACAAGACGTAGATTTTTTAAAGATTAGTTTTTAGGGACCAATACAAGGCGTAGATTTTTTAAAGATTAGTTTTTAGGGACCAATACAAGGCGTAGATTTTTTAAAGATTAGTTTTTAGGGACCAATACAAGGCGTAGATTTTTTAAAGATTAGTTTTTAGGGACCAATACAAGGCGTAGATTTTTTAAAGATTAGTTTTTAGGGACCATTTTTTTCAACGACTATACAAGGCATTGATTTTTTAAAGATTAGTTTTTAGAGACCAATACAAGGCTTTGATTTTTTAAAGATTAGTTTTTAGGGACCATTTTTTTCAACGACTGTACAAGGCTTTGATTTTTTAAAGATTAGTTTTTAGGGACACTTTTTTTAACGACTATACAAGGCTTTGATTTATTAAGGACACATTTTTACTTACCTTATTTGTAGATCCATTTCATATTTTTTTGAAAATACTCGTTTTGTTTTATTTTTATTAAATCTTTATTCAATACGTTTGTTTTTATTTAGTTTTCCATTTATGACAATTTTAATCAGCTTTTACAATTTTTTACTAAAAGAAATACATAATTTGTTTTGTTTTTGTTTGTTGTTCTTCGTTTGTTTGCATTTTCTTTGTTAATTCTTAATTGTGTTTGTTTTTTTATAATAAATGATTTTCAAAATGTTGTTTTTTCGTTAACAAATTACATCTATTTTGTTATTTTGTTTTGTAAGGACTGTGTATCAGGTTTTGAATTTCTTAAGGTATGTTTTGTCCTACAATTAATGTTATGTTTTTTGTTTGGTATTGCTAAAAAAATTTGGTTGACATTTGAAGCTTACAAATTTAATAGGTTTTTGTAGGAATTGGAGGAGAAGAAGAGATAATTTTTGGAATTTTTTAATGAAATCAATTAAAAAATTTATGTTTTATGAACAAGAACTCAAGGGGAATTAAACATTTTTGTTTTTGTGTAATTATGTCAGGATTTTCAATTTCAATTAATTTTTTTTCTTTTCTTCTAAATAGTTTTTTTACTTCTACATAGTATGTTGGTTTGAGTGTGTCTGCGATTTGGGGTCTGGATAAGAATTACACCTACATCTTGTGTTTTGTTATTGGTTTTTTAAATTTATTTTCAATTGTTTTGTATTTGAAGCTTCTTGTCTAGCTTTAACTTCTATGTTTCTTTGTTTTGGCAGTTGGTCAGTAATGTGACGGTGTATTGTGTGTCTGTGATTTCTAATGAATTTCTACTGCACGATTTCGAAAAAGAAAATTACAACAATTTACTTGGTGCGGCAACAATACTCAGCTGAGTGAAGGGAGTCATGGCCTAAGATTTTGGAATTTTTTTGAGGTTAATTAAAATCATTAAAAGGAGATTATTTTAAAGACTTTTGAAGAAATGTTTATAATCTTCTGTATGGAGAACGTGTAGTCTTCTACAAGACGAGAGTGAAGTCTTTTATAAGGCAGGAAGGCAATTTAAAGTATTCTATTAGAATACCTTCAAATCTTTTATTAGAAGACCTTGAAATCTTCTATTAAAAGCCTTAAAGTCCTCTATTGGAAGACCTTGAAATCGTCTATAAAAAGACATTGAAATCACCTACAAGAAGACCTTGAAATTTTCTATTAGAATTCCTTGAAGTCTTCTATTAGAAGATCTTAATATAGAAGGGTTTTTTATGAGGTGATCTTGACATATTCGAAGAGGAAACCATTGCTTCTCCAGGCCTCGATTGGGTTGTTGTTAAGAATGCCATAATGTCAGGTTACTTTGAGTAGATCTCAGTTCCTTCTATGGGATCCTAGTGTCTTCTATGGGAAAATCTTAAAATATGGTTGGATTTACTTTGCCTCGTATGGGATCGGGCTAAGAAGACTTTTCAAGTAAATCTATGAAGTTTTCTATATGAAGAATACATTGAAGCATTCTCTGCCAATTCTGACATTTTCAGAAGCTTTGAGAAGACCCTCGTGTTTTTTATTAGAAAACCCTGACATGACTCAAGTCTTTCATTAGAATTCTTTGCAGACATGTTACTTCGAGGATATCTCAATTCCTTATATGGAAAGTGAAAACCTTAAAAATGGGTTCGAATTGACTTTACATCGTATGGGTTTTTCATTAGAATGATTTGCAGCTAGGCTTCTTAGAGGAGATCTCAGTTCCTTATATGGGATGGGAAAACCTTACAATTGGGTTCGAATTGAATTAATCTCGTATGGGGTCGTTTTCGACTTGACTTTATCTATGTCCCCTTCTAGGTGTATACTTTTTTTCTTACTGGACAATGTCTCCTTCTAGGTGTATATTTTTTTTGTATTTGAACTTTGGGATTTTGATCATATCGTCGTTTACAGAACTGATCGATCTCCTTCATTTTCTACAAACGAACAAGTTCCTTTTCTCCATATAGTCCCCACTCCCAGATAGTTGAATTGACTCTTGATTGAGAACTGAAAAATGTATGAACTCAGAAAAGACCTTAAGAACTAATCCTAGCTCCGATCACTTCGTTCTCAGATTAGTTCCAATTTCTTCCATGAGAACAACTAAAACATGGCGCTTGGTTTTGCCTCCTTTAAGATCGCCTTACTGGACCATGGATCCTTTATGGGTTCGTATTACTTTTTGTATGTCTGTAGTCCTATATCATGTATAAACGCTAACTAGCTATTCAATTATTGGTCTGTTGTTTTTTTTTTGGATTCCCTTTCAATATGTAATTTATCTATTGAATTATTGAACTTTGGATGCAATCGAAGTTGGAAAGAATCTACTGTATTATTGGTCTGAACTGATTCCCCTTTCAATATTTCCAGGTGTAGTTGTTGTAATTTTATTTTTTATGATTCTCAAATGTTTGTTGTTCTTCCTATTACTTTTTTGTTGTAAAGCATTTTAAGCCTCCTAAAATTTCATTTGGGAATTTTCACTTAAAACTTTCTCCATTGAAAATTTAAAGTAAATATATTCGAGATTTGTTTTTTTTTTGGTATTAGCTGTATGTTTGGTTTTGCACACCTCTTGGTTTTTGGATTTTTTTCTTTTATTTTAACTTATAACCTATTGTTTGTTTTTATTTATTTTTATTATTTGTATTATTTATTTTAACAAATTTATTAGTTTTTTTCTTTGTTTTAATATATATTTTTTGTATTTTTTTATTCAAAATCTTTCTAAAAAAAGAGAGGACCAAAAAACGTTGTTATTTTGACTTAAGTTTTTAAAAAAATGTGGTAACGGTAGGCTACAGATACTTTGCTATCTTTTTTTTTGTCGTAAAAATTCACATTCAATAATACTTTCATTTGAGAGGGGGAGAGAGGAGGTGAAGTGTTGAAGTAGGGGGTTGTTGGTTTATTTGTATTGTTATTAAGAGATAATGCTGAAAAATTATAATAATTGTTAACAATTTAATTAGAACTTATTTTATTTTAACTTTGGTTTTACTATCAGAAATATAAAGGTCCAGAGGAAGGGGTTATCGAAGTGCTCCTAAAGGTGGTCGGAAGGATATTTTAATATAAAAATACTATTAGAGCCCTTAAATGAAAACTCATTTGCTCTTCTCTGAGAGCAATAGGTCTTAAATAAAATAGTATTTAATAAAATCGAAAAGCTCTCCTATTCAAAGCCCCTGTAACTCGTTTATAAAAATACCTTCAAGAAGTTCTTTACAAAATCGTTAAAATATTATTCTAATCGAACCTCTATTATCTCAATGAGGTTGTAGAGAGACCGAGATTTGATAGTGTTGTAAGAAATTCCCAACGAACCTTTATATTTCTATGTTCCGGTACACAATTTCATCTATTGAGGCGGGATGGCTTAGGAAATTTTAGTTTTACATTCAAATTATCCAGTTCTGAAAAAAAATATAAAAGAAAACTGTTAATTATTTCAAAACATCTTTCAAAATCTTTTTACTAACTCACCTCAATTGCTTAATAATTCAAATCGAATTTAAAAATTTGGTATTTGAAATTTCTTAAAACTTAATAAAAATTATTGAGTTAATGTGGTTTTTTAAATAGTTTATGAAATAAATTAACAGGAAACTAAAACAACAACAATGAAAAAACAATAATAATAAGATTTAAACAAAAGCAATCGTTATGCTGTTTTGTCTAAAATCTAAATAAAAATTGAAATTAAACAAATCTTTTCAGCAAAAATGCCAAGGCGAAGAACAGCGATGTGGCCATGGCCATAGAAGACACGCCGAGACCAGCAGCTGTGTTGCAATTATCTTCAGTGCAGGAGCAGACAACTTGACGACCGCCAAAACCGGCACGGGTATAACAGCTTTGGTAGCTGGTTTGATTTTGGAAACCACAGGTACGAATGACACGGCTATCGGGGGGTACTGGAAAGAAAACAAAAAAATATATATATATTTTCTTAGGTGAGTAAATACATATTTTAAAAACCATAATTTTTCAAAGACCCAAACAAGTCATGGAATTTTTATAGACTATTTTTTGGGGCGTTGATTTTTTAAATAACTTTTTTTTTGAGGGACCCAAACAAGGCGTGGATTTTTTAAAGAATATTTTTTGAGGGACCCAAACAAGGCGTGGATTTTTTAAAGAATATTTTTTGAGGGACCCAAACAAGGCGTGGATTTTTTAAAGAATATTTTTTGAGGGACCCAAACAAGGCATGGATTTTTTAAAGAATATTTTTTGAGGGACCCAAACAAGGCGTGGATTTTTTAAAGAATATTTTTTGAGGGACCCAAACAAGGCGTGGATTTTTTAAAGAATATTTTTCATCACCCGATGAAATAGTGAGCTAATATGTGCCGCAAATTCACCCAAAAGAACTATAAAAAATGGGGTGAGGCGTCGGCAAAGAAAAAGAAAACCATACCCACCTAATGTCGACGACCCCCGCAAACGTAAAAAGGACCACGATCTGCGAATCTGCACTGGAATGTGCGCACGTTGTACAGAACAGGCGCAGTGTTCGCTTTGGCGGATGTACTCAAGAAGTACAAAGCCGATATTATTGCCTTACAGGAAATGCGATGAAAAGGGACTGACGTAAGTAAATCAGAAGATTACGCCCTGTATTATAGCTGCCATGAAACGAGACGTGAATTTGGCTGCGGATTTATGGTTAACAGGAGAATAAAAGACCACGTCTCCAGATTCACTCCAGTAGATGAGCGAATTGCTATAATCCGTATAAAAGTGAAGTTCTTCTATATCAGCCTCATTTGTGCCCATGCTCCTACCGAAGATAAAGATGAACAGACCAAAGACATATTTTACGAGCGTCTAGAAACAGCATATGACCGTTGCCCTGGCCGTGACATTAAAATTCTGCTAGGAGATTTTAATGCAAAAATCGGAAGGGAAAATATCTTTGGCCCCACCGACGGAAAAATCTGCCTCCATGAAGACACATCAGACAACGGCATTGACTTCGTGGCAGCAAAAACGCATGGTAGTTAGCAGCACCAGATTCAAGCATCTCGATATACACAAGGCCACTTGGATTTCTCCCGATCGAACAACGAAAAATCAAATCGATCATGTTGTGATAGACGGAAGGCATTCATCCAGTGTTTTAGACGTCCGATCGATCCGAGGAGCGAATGTCGATTCGGACAATTACCTTGTGGCAGCCAAGGTACGCACCCGTCTTAATGTAGCAGCAAAGGTGCGATCTAATGCAACACGGACATTTGATGTCGAAAAGCTGCAAATGCAACAGATAGCAGAAGCCTACTCCGCTCAACTTACCCAACTGCTTGACGAAAGCACCCCTTATCCCGATAATAATATAGAAGCATAATGGCAGAGAATTGCCCACTCCCTACAAACTGCAGCAAAAGCAAAACTTGGGTATCACAGACCACCATCAAGAAATCAGGAGTGGTACGATCAGGAGTGTCGTAATGCTACTGATATGAAAAACGCAGCGTATAGGGCAACCCTGCGGACAGTAGCAACACGTAATGCGATGGAAAATTATCGGGAGAAAAGGATAGAGGAGAAACGTATTTTCAGAAAAAAGAAAAAGAGCAAGAAAAACGTGAGCGTGAGCAAATCGAGATATACAGGAGTCAGAATGAAGTCCGAAAATTCTACCAACGGGTAAATTCTACCAACGGTAAAATTCTACCAACGGGTGCAGGCACCCTGTAGAGATGAAGAAGGAAACCTGGGGACAGAAGGAAACCTCAGAATAAAGAAGAAAGAGCAAGAAAAACATGAGCGTGAGCAAATCGAGATATACAGGAGTCAGAATGAAGTCCGAAAATTCTACCAACGGGTAAATTCTACCAACGGTAAAATTCTACCAACGGGTGCTGGCACATCCTCCTGTAGAGATGAAGAAGGAAACCTGGGGACAGAAGGAAACCTCAGCACGTTGTCTGTGTGCTGAGGATCTGGAAGGAGCATTTTGAAAAACTTTTGGTATCAAATAGTTGCAGTGAAGTGGATACCCCAGAACCAATAATATAAAACGGTATAGAGAGTATACCACCTAGCCAAGATAAAGTCAGAATAGCAATCAATCGGCTGAAGAATAATAAAGCAGCAGGTGCCAATGGGCAACAAGTCGAACTATTGAATGCTGGTGGTCAGATGCTGGTAAGGAGCATGCACCAGCTGATTAGTACAATTTGGTTAGAAGAATGCACGCCCAATGATTGGAACCTCAGCATCCTGTGTCCCCTGCACAAAAAAGGAGATAATACGATATGTGCCAACTATAGAGGAATAAGTCTCCTTCTCATCGCATATAAAGTGCTATCCAGCGTACTGTGTGAACGACTGAAGCCAATGGTCAATGACATTATTGGACCATACCAATGTGGCTTCACATTGGGGTTTTTCCAAATCCTGGAAAAAACCCCACGTAAATTGGGAAGGAGTCTGCCAAAGTGGGTCGGGGTCTGAAGAACTTGTGAACTACAGCTTCGAGGTAGTCAAAGATTTAATATACCTTGGTACCGCCATAAACAAAACGAATGACATCAGTTTTGAAGTTCGGAGAAGGATAGTGATGGCCAACAGATGCTACTATGGTCTAAGTAAGCAGTTTAGGAACAAGGCCACCTCCCACCAGACCAAACTCACACTTTACAAGACGCTGATACAACCCGTGCTGTTATATGGATCTGAAGCATGGGTACTTGTGCAAGCAGATGAGACAGCTCTTGGGGTGTTTGAAAAAAAAATTCTCCGAAAGATCTACGGGCCGATCTGCGTCGACGGTGAATATCGGCGTCGAATGAACCACGAGCTCTACAATTTATACGCGGACATCGACATAGTCAGTCGTATTGAGCTGCAGCGACTACGGTGGCTAGGGCATGTTGTGTGAATGAATGAGAATGCCCCAGCTCAAAAGGCATATAAAAGCCGGTCTACTGATGGTTCCCGTAGAAGGGGAAGGCCACGAATTAGATGGAAAGACCAAGTAGAAAACAACATCTTGGAACGAGGCCTTTCAAATTGGAGGAGATGCGCACAAGACGAACGCGCTTGGAACAATCGTTCTGTAACAAACCTGCTAAGTAAGTAAACAAGCCGTGGATTTATTAAAGAATATTTTTCAGGGCCTAAACAAGGCGTGGATTTTTTTATAGAATAATGTTTCAGGGTCTAACCAAAGCGTGGATTTTTAAAGAATATATTTTCAGGTCCTAATTAAGGCGTGGATTTTTTAAAGAATATTTTTTTCGGTCTCTAACCAAGGCCTGGATTGTTAAGGAATATTTTTTTTCGGTCTCTAACCAAGGCCTGGATTGTTAAGGAATATATTTTTTCGGTCTCTAACCAAATACTGGATTTTTAAAGAATATTTTTTTTCGGTCTCTAACCAAATACTGGATTTTTAAAGAATTTTTTTTCGGTCTCTAACCAATACTGGATAAAGAATATTTTTTAATATACTTGTTTTTGTTATTATTATTTGTCTACTTACAGTTATTTACAGAGAATTCAATAATTTGTGATATTTTACGACAATATGTCGAAAGACCACGTCCTCTTGTTGAATAGAGTTCTTCACAGTCCTTTAGTAGATTATCTGGTGGTATGTCCAATGCACAATTGGCATCTTTGTGGCTGTTACAAACATAGCACTTAATTGCTGAACCTATAGAAAGAAAAGAAAAAAAATAGAGAAAACATAAATTAGACATCTTATCGAGTAATGGAAAAAGGGGGAAAAATTATATCAACAGGTGTTATGCCGTCTGCCTTTTCTAGGTCTTTAGAAATTATATCTTATCTTGAGAAGGACCTCTTCGGCAGCAATTGAGATTGTAATGTGTATTGACATTATTATGACATGACGACTATGCGATAATATATTTTGTAATAGATACAAAGTAGGAGGTAGGGGAGGGTGGTATGGAGAGGAAATTGCTTTTGTGGTGCGTAAATGTAAGGTAGGTCACCTACCATAGGTGAGGTATAAAATGTATTTCGTAATTATTGAAATGCTAAAAGCCTGGATTTATTAACCCTATATATATATTTATTAACCCAATAACCAAAAAAGTACACGTACATTCAAAGATAGCTCTGTAACTCATTAAAAAATTGGACTATCGTGAGGTTTTTTGTTTTAAATTAGTCTATGCGGATCTGGACTAGATGTAGGAACTCAAAATTATATATACATTAAAATAATATATATTTAAATCCATGCTTAAATGATAATCTGTCTAAAACAATCATAGTAAATTCGTTACAGCTTTCGAATGGGTTAAGCTTTTTTAGTTATTTTTTTATTGGGATCTTATTTAGGTGTTCCTCAACCCCTCTGCAAATTTTGATGGCCCTAGACAACATGGGACCATCAGGGCGACTCGTGGAAGTCAGAAACTACCCTAGTTTTCCTTTGGTATACAGGGACTAAACAAATTATTATTGCCAATTATTCACATTTGATGAGTTTAGAGATTGTGATTGGCATATTTTTAACACTATTTAATACTTTAAAACGTTATTTAATGATAGTTTATATATTTACGCCAATTTAGGATTGTAATAAATCGGACTAATTCGATTATAGAACAAGTTTCAGGCCCAATATGAAGAATAATTGGATAATTACGCACAATAATCATTGTTTTTGTCCCTGTATACCAAGGGAAAGCCAGGGTAGTTTCTGACTTTCACGAGTCGCCCTGATGGCCCCACTTTGTCTATGGCCACAAAAATTTGCAGAGGGTTTGAGGAACACCTAAGTAAGATCCCAATAAAAAATAACTAAAAAAGCTTAACCCATTCGAATGCTATAACGAATTTACTATGATTGTTTTAGATAGATTATCATATTATTTTAATGTATATATAATTTTGAGTTCCTACATCTAGACCAGATTCGCATAGACTAATTTAAAACAAAAAACCTCACGATAGTCCAATTTTTTAATAAGTTACAGAGCTATCTTTAGATGGGTACAAATGTACCACGGTTATTGATCTACGTAGGTAATAACTTCAAAAAATTGTAAAAATTATATATATGGAAAATATTTACAATTTTTTCTTCGATTATGTGTGAAAATACCTCAAGAATGATTCCTCAAAATTTGATCCAAATAACTTCATTATTAAAAATTTTACAGCATTTTTATTCAAAAAAGGTACAAATGTACCCGGTTATTGACCGTAGGGTTAAAAAAATATTTTTTCAAAGATTAGCCAAGGTGGGGATTAAAAATATTTTTTCAAAAATTAGCCAAGGCGGGGATTAAAAATATTTTTTCAAAGATTAGCCAAGGCGGGGATTAAAAATATTTTTCATAGTACAGCCAAGGCGTAGATTTAATAAAAAATATTTTTTCAAATATTCTCTGATCCAAAAAGGAATTATGTTCTTAGCATTTAATCTTTAATTTTTTTAAACACCTAATTTGTTTTACTGTTTTAATCTAAAATTCAGTATGCCAATAAAAAAAGAAATCCATTTTTATGCATATTAAGCTGCATTTCTAAAAAAGATTTAATATTTCTTGTATTCTCTTTTATCCACGAGTTCAAAGTGTTGTTGTTGTTGTTGCTGTTACTGCTCTTGTTATTGTACTCAAAATAACACAATTTGCATCCACTTCAGACATGAGAAAAAAATAACACTTGAAGAAATTCTTTGAACGAGATTCGCTATTTTGTCTATATGCCCATCCATAGACGCTGCCAACTAACCAGCTAGACAGACACCAATAATCTAGGAGTCTATGCCTCCCACTTACCCTCTCACCCACATACATAAACACCCATGACAAGACATTCATAAAATCACGATGAAATGCTCATCATAATAGACCGCAGGACAAAAAGACGGAAAACAACTTGACGTGATTAGGCATTGCAATAAGAAGAAGAAGCGTGTGGTGGGTGAAAAATGGGAGGCTTCTAATGTCTCTTGGGATTTGTCTATCCTGTAAGGCACTCGAAAAATGAGTAGATTTTATGGCTTTGAATTAAGGAATGTAAAATGGGAAATAGGCTTAAGAAATCGTTTGTAGAACTTTTAAAAAAACGTAGGGTTTTTTTCAAATTTCGACAGTTTCTGGGATCCTGTTTATCAGAAAATGTTAATTTTTCTTAATTTTAAATTTGAGTTTCGAGATGGCCATCCCTAAAGTTTGTTGTTGTGAATGTGTAGAAGATTATCTTTTGATATTGCAATGTATTATCTTCTAGAGTGTGAATATTGTCGTTAACGCCGTTTGGCATAGACCAAGTGTAACTAACCGGAAATAATTTAGAAACTTAATGTGACAATTAGCCGCAACAAATTGGTTAAGAATTTCTATCATTTAATGGAGACTTGGTGAGATTTAGAGGAGTATGGTTGTGGAATAACAATAAAAACGAATTCGGGTCGAATTCTTAATACCATACGGTAGACATACAATAATCGTTTGGAACTATTATATGGAAAATTCGGATATTTATATTTGCCATGAGAACGAATAAAATCCAATTAGATTTAATTAGTTTGAAAATCGATCTCACAATCACCGAAATACGGAATAATAGGGGTATAGTTATATTGGAGGTACCCTAAGGAAGAAACAAAATAACGAAACAAAATATTAGGTTGAGGAAAAAGAAATTCATTTTTTTTAAATGAACCGAATTGGGCCAAATATGCTCCATTTTGTTGTCATGTTAAAGGTAACTCCATAATGCCTCTCTCATAGAAGTACTGCTCTCTATTTGCAAAAAGCTCTAGAAGTCGATTTTCACAATCCTCGCTAGATACCAATTTTTTATCATTAACGAAATTTTGCAATGCAAGAAAAATATGACAATCGCTTGGCGCCAAGTCCGGAATGTATGGCGGATGCATTTAAACTTCCCAACCAAGCTCCGGAAGTTTCTGACGAGTCACTGTAGATGTGTGTGGCCTAGAGTTGTGGTCAATTTTTAATGCCGATCATTTCTCCCATTTTATCGACATTTTCGACGGCCGGCCTATCTGTCCGGGGTGCATCTTTAACATCAACAAGTGAAAAAACGTTAAGTTCGGCCGGGCCGAACTTTGGATACCCTCCACCTTAGATATACTGACAGGTACTTGAAATTAAAGTATATGGAAAATACTAAAAAGGGGACCTATACCGACATTTCTACAAATCGATTACACTGTGCAGCACTAAAATCTTGAACCAATCGAGACCCCCAAAATCTTGAAGCTTGTGATGGTGGAAGAAAATCCCTAGCTGGGTTTTGCATTATTAGCTAAGTTTTTTTTTTAATTAATTTTTAAAATATTCGACTGGGGGTGGATTTTAGCACAATTTTCGAATAATACTATATCTATATCTCGTAAACTATTCGAAATATTGCTTTTCTCTCTTAAGCAATATTTTTCCTCTTAATTAGATCTAAAAATTTTCTTTTGAGATAAAATCAATAAAACAACACCATCATACTGAAAATAGCACAAGTGCAAGAAAATTAAAATTTCGACTTACTTTTTCCATGTTTAATTTTTACTTCAATTTTGTACCTATTTATTGAAAAAAGCATATCAATTAAACATACAATTGGGAGTGAATTTCTTTGGTTCATTTTGATGAATTTGTGAGGCTATAACTATGTGAAGGAGTCAACCAATGAAATCGGGGTTTTAAGAAAAGTTGTTTGATTTGCTATTGGCTATCTTTTTGTCATATATTTTTTGTCCGAGTCAGTAGCAGTTTCTGAAAAAAAGTGTGAAAAACATGGAAAAAGTATGTCTAAATTTTAATTTTTTTTTTGCAGTTGTGCTATTTTCAGTATGATGTTGTTGTTTTATTGATTTTATCTCAAGAGAAAATTTGTAGACCTAATTAAGAGGAAAAATATTGCTTAAGAGAGAAAAGCAATATTTCGAATAGTTCACGAGATATAGACTCAATAATAAGTACGTATTATTCGAAAATTGTGCTAAAATCAGCCCCAGTCGAATATTTTAAAAATTAATTTAAAAGAAATCCTTAGCTAATAATGCAAAACCCAGCTAGGGATTTTCTTCCACCATCACAAGCTTCAAGATTTTGGGGGTCTCGATTGGTTCAAGATTTTAAAGTTGAAAAATGTGTCACTGTGTTATGTAAACCATAATACAAATTTGAAAAAATTTTAATGGATAATTATACCCTCAGCCTTATGGCTAATGAGGGTGTATACACTTTGACACAGAAAAGTTTGATTTCATCCAAACTTTGCCCATCTTATTATTGTTTCCAAACTTAGTTCAAGTTCGAAGATATTCCTCCTTCTGGTACCTCCCACACATGGGGCTAGGTCTAAATGCGGGTTATAGTTCATTATCGAACCTTACGTTCTAGTTTTTTATCTCGATATCTTCCGCAGGTGAAAAGATTACAACAGAGTCTTAGAACCAAATCCAAAACACGGAACAAATTAGATAACTATTTTAATATAAAAAATGGGGTTATATGGGGACTATCCCAAGAAGGGGGCGAATATTAATAATTTTTGGTGGAGAGATTTGCTGCCAAATACGACTACAAAATACCATTTTGCAGCGAATTCGGTTGAAAAACGCACTCAAGAACCCCAAAATACCGAAAATTGGGGGTACCCTTATATGGGGGCTACCCGAAAAAATGAACCTATGTTCATAAT